CAGACTCAGATAGATAGATAGATAGATAGATAGATAGATATGAACTGACTCAGATAGATAGATATGAATGCACCGAGATAGAGATGAACAGGATGATAGATAGATAGATAGATAGATAGATAGATAGATAGATAGATAGATAGATAGATAGATATGAACCGAACCGGAGAGATATGAGAATAAGTGAGATAGATAGATAGATAGATAGATAGATAGATAGATATGAACAGACTCAAATAGATAGATAGATAGATAGATAGATAGATAGATAGATAGATAGATAGATAGATAGATATGAAGAGACTAAGATAGGAATGAACAAGCGTTATGAGTATAGAGCTGAAGTAGATTTTAAGAGGAACCGGAAACCCAATCATAAACACGGAACAAGGGATAAACCTCTACTCCTGTTCAAAAGACCGGGAAGGAGTATGAACAGAACAATAGACGAACATTTAAGAATAAATTTGGGGCTCGCTATTATACCTTAGTGGCGGCTTTCCGAATGGACTAAAGAATATTTTTAACTTATCTAATGGAAGCATTCAAAGTGCATTTAAGTGCATATATTATGGGTGTTCAAGTAGGGGAATAACGTTACAGAGACAACTTATACACATCAGTGTTTATATATATATATATATATATATATATATATATATATATATTACATGAATCATTCATACAAAAAACAGATATAGATGTTAATGATTTAAATGGCGAGAATACATCTTCGCAAACAAATTTAATAAATTACATTAACCCCGACCCTGTAGATGAATGCTATGATCCCTGTTTATAAATTCCAGTTGCATAAGGTCTTTTTTAGTTTTTTACAAGCTTTCATCTGTTCATACAGACATCATCAGGTATGGAAATAGATTTGATTTTGTTTTTTTACTTCTCAGTAATAACAGGACAACGGAAATATAGATGTATCCGAAAAATGTTTTTAGAAATGTGTTATTGTTAATTGTAAGAAATTGCGGTCGCAACGCTGAGGTTGAATTTTTAAATTTTAAGATTGTGCGTTTTTGTACTAAAATGGTAATAGGAGAATTCTTTTGTACTGGTAGGGTTTTCAGTCGATGTGGCATGAATTAAATTGTTCAATAAATACAGGAATGTCACAGTTATTATCCGAAAGTTGCACGTCGGATCAGTTATTTTAATATCAACTATGTCATGTATATATATATATATATATATATATATATATATTTAGGCAGCATTTTTTTTCATTAATTCATGTTTCATTAAATAATATAGACAAGTTTTGTCTGTCTATTTTAAGCAAATTCCTTTCATATCGTCTGATAAGCTTAATAACATTATCATTGAAAGATGAAAGAAAATCACCTTATTGATACATGTTTTTTAATCCTATCTAAGCTTTCGACTTACATATGCCATCATAAAAGATGACGATTACATTACAATAAATTAATACGCGGACATAGCAACAATGATAGTCTGTTTTCGTTTACATGGAAGATTTCCTAGCAACGACAAACTCGTGCATACGAGACGCTGGAAGCGAAAATCGCAAGGCGGCCCATGATATCACACATGACCACGAGAGAGGGGAAACGAGAAATGCTAAGAATGGGAAGCCGTTGGTATAAGCCAATGGCTTGTGTTATCAATTATAGACATTTTAGTATATCTGTGGAGTTTTCATGGTTTATTTTGTTCAGGTTAGGTCTCAACTGTTTTATGTATATAGCTTCAAGAATTTTTAGTTTTTGTTCATTGTTTTCATGTTTAAGTGTAGTTGTGTTTTCAACAAGTATTTCCTGGAATTGTGTTTGCCACCAGGCATGTTGTTTTAAATACCTAAAAATGTTAGAATTATTATTCAAAAGTAGAGCCAAGCATTGTGAAAGCGAGTTTTTGGGGTGACCAACATAAATATTATTTAATCCGTTGGAGATATAATCTCCCAGAGGGCACTTGAATTTGTAAACTATGTTGTTTTTTGTTTGTTTGTTTTTTGCAAATTGCTAACGGAACTGGGTGGGGGAGACAATCATTGCGAATAATTGAGTTGGATATACTAGATTTAGTGTAGTATATGATTAACTTAATTTTTTTTTATTAGGATCTGTTGTAGATATATTAGTATTTGCCAATTTTTTAGTATATTTTCATCTAGTTTATAATTATTATGCATTTGATTACGATATAGGAGATTAATATGTTTGGGATTAGTTGAAACAGTATTTGATTAGTATTAAGACTTCTAAGAAAGCATCTTATTTGTTCAACTATATACTTTGGAAATCTATGATTAATAAGTGTTTGTTTTATATTCATTTGTTCACTGAAAATATGTTTTGCGGATGAATTAGTTTCTGCACGATGTATTAGATTTTTTATAATTGCTATTTTGTAATAATATGGGCATTCGCTCTTCTAGTTAAGGATACACGAATTTATGCTGGTAGGTTTTTTATATGCACGAGTTTGTCATTGCTTGGAAATCTTCCATGCAAACAAAAGCAGACTATCATTGTTTCTATGTCCGCGTATTGTTTAATTTATTTTAATGTAATTGTTATCTTTGATAATGGTTTATGTAAGCCGAAAGATTAGATAGGATTAATATATATATATATATATATATATATATATATATATATATATATATATATATATATATATATATATATATATATATATATATATATCGCTGTCCTCTCGGTTTCGAGCGTGACCACCTCCTCTATTTCACGTCCTCACCCCCACTCCCACTACCCTCAAATTCTATGTATTCGCAGGGTGACTCTTCAGGTCAGCCAAACTGCGACAAATTTTGCCACAGAATTGGCATACCCAATCAGTTTGTTTACAGTGACATTATTCGGTTGCGCATATATATATATATATATATATATATATATATATATATATATATATATATATAGTATATTTTCAAAAAAACATAATTACCATATATGAGGAATAGACCCTAATTTTTCGTCGGTTAAAATAGGTCTATTTCCCATTTGAGGTAATTTGGGATTTTAAAGTGTACTACATTTGCTCTGTAATAATAAAGACACTGAGCTCTTTTTGTGGATTAGTTTTAATATTTTATATCACTAGCATCCACTAAGATTATATACCAACAGTTTATTACATTTACTATCTATCTATCTATATATATATATATATATATGAGTTTGTAGGAACTAACGTGTATGTGTGCCTAAGTCATTTATGTCATCCCAAAACGAACACACAACATGCAAATATTCCCCTTCTACCACACAAATAAGCAAACACAAATAAAGCATAAATAGATCTACTTTTGAGAAAATAAACCAGTTCTTCTGAAGATCGCAAAAAAGCGTAAAGCCTAATGTCACAAAACAGCTCTGCATGCAACTATATATATATATATATATATATATATATATATATATATATATATATATATATATATATATATATATATATATATATATATATATATATATATATATATATATATATGTGTGTGTGTGTGTGTGTGTGTGTATTTGGGGCATCCTGAGGCGTTGCAGTGGTTAGCAAGCTTGTCTTGCTAGAACAATTACGACTACGTAGTGAGTTCGATCCTCACTGAATGACCCTCCTATTTTGGGCCTTGTGCCACCTAAGCTACGCTTTGAAAATCACTATAAAATTGTGTATTTAAGCAAAAAATCCTTCTTCTATGGGAGTTTCATTAAAGCCAACACTCAGTAACATCAATTATAAAAACGGCCACAATATTCCGACCGTGTTTGGAATATAAAACTTTCCTATAACTCTGGATGCACATATAAAGCAATCTATAGATTCAGTTAAATAAAAATAAAATCATCATAAGTATACCATCCATCCTTGCTTTGGATATTGCTGCCATAGCTGGTCCGATGTCCATGCTACATATTTGGAAATTCTTGATAAAATTAAAAAAAAAAAAACTGCAATGTCATTGGCCCTGACATGGCACCTCAGCTTCAGTCACTTTCCCACCGCCGTAATGTAACTCCCTTGAGCTTTTTCTATAAATAATGTCATATTAATTGTTCTGATAGTACCGTGACTTTATGAATTTAAGCCCAGTACTAGATTAGCGTCATTTTCTCATCATTTTAGTATTGAAATAGCTCGATGTAGCCGTAAGTCCTATGCCAACCGTTTCTTCTCAAGCACTTCCCGTTTATAAAAATCTCTTCTGGCTTTATGCTTTCCAGTCAAGTCTTATAATTTAAGAGCAATGTCAATCGTTATCATAATTCTTGTTCTTTTATTGTTCTCTCTCATTAATAGTATTTTTTCCTCATATTCTTTCATACTCAGTATCTCTTTTGTCTTAGTGGCTTTGTTGCCTTGCTTGGGGTGAAATGATTAAGACATGTAGAGGGAATCAAAGCATAGAAAAAGTCGATCGATTGGTGGGGTGGCTTTCATTTCTATTTTATTGCCAAACAGCTTTTAGAGCAGATATTTAGATCAATAAATTCGTTAAATTGTACGAAGACATCACATTAAAACATCCTTGCAATTTTTGCTTTTCCCACCAATCATCTTAAATGGAAAGCCATATTTAGATAGTGAGCTAGAGATGGTGATATTTGCATGTTATTCAAATCGTAATTTATTTAATCATGCAACTGTTACATGCAAACGCATACACAAATTCACACTTTCTATCCAATATGCACACACGACCCGGTAATTCGTAAAAAAAAAAAAACACTTTATAAGACAATTTTAAAAGTCATAAAGAAATAGAACAGCTTCGATGGTAGTTCTGAATGAGAAAAATTGGGAATTAATTATGACGCGGAAAAAAAAGAAACGAGACGCAACAGAAACGAAACTAAGGGCAGACGAATGGGTGTATGAAAATCACGAACTCTTAAAAATAGCGTGAGAACGAAAAACGAAGCTGCAGGAAGAGTAAAGTCAAGAAATGATGGAATAGAAAGACTCGGTTTTTCTATTGATAAGAAGACTTTGATCATTTAATTTCCGGAACCTATTTGTCAAGTATCGTCTGTTTCAGTCAATTGTTTTCAATGTAATATCGAACTATATACGAACTCATTCGATTAATAATTGTATATATTAAATTTATTTATTTGTGTTTGACATATGTGAATGATTATTTTATGTTAATTATTTCCTATATTACTCCGAACTGATGAGCACTTATCAATTCGTACTTTGTCGTAATAAACCACTAAGAGATATCACCTGATTCCTGTTAGAGAATATATATATATATATATATATATATATATATATATATATATATAAAGAAATGGACAAAGTCCGACAATTTATTTATTAAAGACATTTTTATGTTTAACGTTCTTTTTTTATAGATACAAGTATTTAAGTAAATGCTCTGTTTATAATAAACAGTATTAAATAACATTTACCGGCCTGAATGTCCGAGAAATTTTCAGAGAAAATATTCGTCCTTTGACAGGATTCGAACCTGCATCCTATAAAAATGTCTTTAATAAATATATTGTCGGACTTTGTCCATTTCTTAATATATGACGTCATTTGTTTACATTTGATACGCCAGAGCAGTTATGAATGTACGAGATTCATGGAAGATTGAAGTTTATAAGCAGTAAATTCGACCTTGTCTACCGAACGCTCCTTTGTGGCCGGTCGGTAAGGCACGTCAGCGTAAATGACGGTTCCGTATAGGATGCAGGTTCGAATCCTGTCAAAGGACGAATATTTTCTGTGAAAATTTCTCGGACATTCAGGCCGGTAAATGTTATTTAATACTGTTTATTATAAACAAAGCATTTACTTAAATACTTGTATCTATAAAAAAAGAACGTTAAACATAAAAATGTCTTTAATATATATATATATAATTAGATTTAAAATATTCATTTCTACATCAGCATTTTTGCCGCAAATTCGAAGCCAAATCTTGTCCAAAACTAATACCACCACCGATGCCATTTTGTCATCATCATTACCCAATCCTGGTTATGACGATAAACTACCTCCGGCAGCAAGGCCTTTGAGTTTTTGAGAAGCATAGATCCACCTCTTAGTTGCTGTTGTTCCCAGGTCCAGCCTCACCTGTTAGCGTCCCAGCTATCGGCTAACAGTGAACCCCCAAACAAAAAGAAAAGATTATGAAAGCAAAAAAATACATTTTCATAGTAAAATTACAAACAATACAATTTTAATTCAAAATGACCAGCAATACATTTTATATTAAGATATACCAACCCTAATATTTATACTAGAATTACCAAAAATACATTTTATAGCAAAATGACCAACAATACATTTTATCTGTAGTAGATGACATGCAAAAGCGTTCAACATATATTTAATTGAAGCCATAAAATTGTATTCATAATATTTAGATTTCCGCATTAAATAACCCATAGAGGTGTTGATAGGCCGCTAAACCAAAACAAAAAACTCCAACATGAAAAATCTCTTTCATGACATTAATTTATATAATATCATGCAATTTCCCCAAAAAATCAAAATGTATTCCAAAATATAACTTCAACAAAACTGCCACATAAAACTCACATATCACCGCCTCTAGTAATTATGCCTACACAAACATGTATATGTACAAAAGCTGAGTATCATCTACCATGTATTCAATTGTGAAAGCAGAATAATATATATCATAATTTTTTTACTCCAAAGCTCCCAAGAAAATTAAATTTTGGCATTATGAGCCATAAGTAGTTGATATGCCGTTAAATAAAAAAAAGAAAATCATGATCATCTTCGTCGTAATTATTACTGCTATTATCGTGATACATTTCAAAGTCTGCTCCTTAAATTAATCCGCTTATATTGTATTCCTGAGTTTTCCTCCTGTCAAACCCTGCCATTATCTCAGATTAATAATGAACCATTCCATTTCGTTTGCGATGACGGAAGAAAAAGATGTATCAGTCGGTGTTTTAGTGAGAAAAAAAAAGCATATATAAGTTTTCTTCCTTTCGCAAGTCTGTCAAACCCTTCCATTACCTCAGATAAATAATGAACTATTGCGTTTTGATTGCGATGATAGACGGAAGAAAGAGATATATTAGACGCAGTTTTAGTGAGAAAAAGATAGCGTATATAATAATAGACGTAAGAAAAATCCCCAAAAAACGCCTATTTTGACAACTATAATATTGTTCGGAATGTATTTATTTATAAAAAATTGATGAAACATTTCATTAATCCCGGTTTGAGCTTGTGCGGGTTTGGGAGCGTTCTTCAAACGCGAATCTACTCGTGAGGTTATGGCGCAATATTTGTCTTTTTCCACGCGGCTGGGACGCTTATATAATTTCACGCCGTCCGGTTTTCCCAAGTGTGCATCTGAATCGAGGACCTGTAAGTATTGGGGTAACCACAGATCAAATCCTCCTTGAAGAAAGGTTCCTGATTAACATTAAATTCGATTCTCGGCTTTGGTATTTCTCAGTGTGAACCACATTCTACAAAAAATGCTTCTATCATCTGCCTTACTTTTAGTAAAGTCAACGCAATTGAAAATAATAAATCCTATTTTATCGACTTTAAAGCAATAATTCCTACATTAATATTCTCTCATAATCACGTCTTTTCATCCGTTTAATAATATCAATGACTAGTTTTTCTTTATTTTAATTATATAAAATTGTATGTAAAATTGTATTAGTATCATCACTATCATCAATATATTTCTTCTATGTCCAGTGTCAATACATAATGTAGGCGATCATGACTCTCTTTTGTAACTATTATTAATATTTGTCGTTTCTCCTGTCGTGTCTCCCTCAATATGATTGATTGATCTATTTTTTATCAACCTTTTGCAGGGTATTTAAAGCCATAGAATATTTTTTTAGATAATAATGATTTTTATGATAAAAATTTTACTAATTAACCCATATCTGGGGGACAAGAGGTGGATTCATATCTTTCCCGCGGATCTCAAATTTCTAATTCCATGCTCTTGTCCATTACACCACAAGCGCATCCGAGTTTAGAACACATTTGTATTCCCAATCAGTCCCCCATCTAGATACTGACCAAGCTCGACGTTGCTTAACTTCGTATTTCAACGGGATATGGCCGTAAGCCTCCCCTAATCTCTGTTCTGTCATCTCACCAAGCAAGGCAGTCATGTCACTGATACCCAAGGGGTCATTTATATGAAAGAATATGAGAAAAAAGAATACTATTCTTAAGGAGAGAGGACAATAAAAGAACAGGTATTTAGAAGATAACGGTTGACATTGCATTCAAATTTTGGAAGATCAAAGTTGATGGGAAAGCAAGAAGCCGGAAGAGAGTTCCTCAAGCGAGAAGTGCGAGGGAAGAAACTGCTATCATAGAACTTACAGTTACATCTAGTTAATTGATGAGACGTTAAATGGGAAGAACTTCTTTTTTTTTAAATCGTCGTCGTTGTTCACGTGTTTCGTCCATGGTAAACTCAGCATCCTTTGGAAGAGCCGCATTTCCGTTGACTCAAACCTCTTCTCTATCATACTTGTTATAAAACCCAGGTTGTGTGTGTGTGTGTGTGTGTGTGTGTGTGTCTGTACGTTTATATATTGGATCGGATTTCCTACATTTTTCAACCGATTTCAACAAAACTTCACAGGACTACGTAAAATTACCTTGCGGTGGTTCTGACAGCGCCAAAAATTGGTGAAGCACAATTGTCTTTGCACGAAATCAATTTGAAAACACGATTAAGAGTCATCGCGAGAATGAAAGGGGGACAACTCATATCTTATTATAAATCCCAGGTTGTTTGTTTGTGTGTGTGTGTGTTCGTTTATATATGGGATCGAATTTCCTACATTTTTCAACCGATTTCAACAAAACTTCACTTTCTTTTTGGCAGGTTGTGTTTCTTATTGTCTTGCACTCTTTTTTCTTTATTTTTACATTCAGAATGCTTTAAAAATTCCATTTACAAGACAATTGTTTATAATAAAATTCTATTCAATCGGTAGACTCATAACGATTGAAAACAATGTTTTTATTTGAGTTTGGGTTTGACCAATTCGTAAAAAAAAAAAAAAAAACTAATTAAGACATGCGTGTCCGTCAACCTTAAACAATAATCTTTGTCAATTTTATTTTTCTGTCTTTATGATGGTCGATACTTGATCTATCTCTTACTGTTACATCCCCGAGCAACAGCGGGCTCTACTGCTAGTCTGTAATAAAATTGCCCAGCATTCACGGTTATATAGGAGCACCGATATAACATGACAGTTCTGTACTCCTTCCTTTGTTTAAAAAAAAAAACGTCTTGTAACTTCCTGTACTTAAAAAAACTAAGGTAGAATCGTTTCTTCATCGCCAGTAAAAGCCTGGGTTTTCTTCCGTCAAATTGAAATGATTTTAAAGTCATTTCGCTTTAAGCAAGTTAATAAAAGCACTAAGATAGAAGGGGTTACTGAGTGTTAGAAAAAAGAAGAAAAAAAAACACTATTAAAAAGAGTATAATAAAAGAACCAGTAGTAGAAAGACACAACGATTCTCATTGAATTTAAAATTTTGAAGATCAAAGTTGACTAGGAAGCAAGAAGACGGAATAGAGTTCCACAAGCGAGAAAATGAGTGAAGAAACTATTAGCATAGGACATACGGTTCCATCTAGTCATTTGAACCGTATGGGACAACTACCAGGTCAGCCCTTGGATGTTTTAGTATAATACTAAATTCAAAGTCTACTTTGGTATCACCTAGAATATGCACGCTATATATTGGGGTTAGAACTACTTAAAAAGGTCCTTTACTGACATTAAATTCGATTCAGATATCTAATATTCTCTGGCGTAAATCATACACTACAAAAGCGTTTTATCGATGAGACGTGAATTAAAACGAAGCTGTTCCTGATTTTGGACGGAATGTGGCCAGCATATTTAGCGAACACAGTTAAGAAAATAGTGGAAATGTATTAGTTACTAGTAATGTTCTTGTTGTTGTTGATTCTTTATGATGCTAATTTGAATGTTGA